AAGTTAGCATTGGTCGAACAACGGCGGTGTAGATCCACAGGGCTATCTTGGGAGACAGACCCCAAGTCCTCCCGACGGCCCTCCGGCACTGGCCGAAGGCGACACAAGCTTTATTAACTCTATTGTCTAGGTGGGATAACGGCTTTCGTTATTCCAATATTTAAATCCGGTGTTAAACAGTTGGTATCCGTCCTATTTCTATCCTTTCAGCTATACCCAAGGTATTTGAAAAAAATGTCCACGAATATCTTAGTCTGTCTATTTCTCACTCTATAATCAATGAACAACATAGTTTTCTGTCTGGGCGATCGGTGGAGTCTAATCTGTTGTCTTATGTAAACTTTATTCATTCTGCTTTAAACGAGGATATTCAGATTGACGCAATCTACACCGATTACTCCAAAGCCTTCGACAAAATCGATCATACTATTCTTATACAGAAACTTTTCTTCTTTGATATTCCAGATGGTCTTGTTCACTGGATTATGTCGTATTTATCTAACCGAAGTCAAGCAGTCAGGATTGGTAGCTTTATATCTGGCTACAAACCTATCACATCCGGTGTGCCTCAGGGCAGTCATCTTGGACCCTTACTATTCGTAATGTACATAAATGATATTTCTTCGTGTTTTATATTTTCGAAGTTTTTACTCTATGCCGACGATAATAAAATATTCACAAGGATCGGGTCTAATCTGGACAGCCTTAGACTACAGGAGGATCTTGACCGCCTGCATGAGTACTGTCGCCTCAACAAAGTTCACCTAAATTATGACAAATGCCAAAAAATTACATTTACTAGGAAACGTTATCCTCTTAACTTTCCTTACAACTTTAACGGTGCTGCTATCCCGTCCACGGATAAAGTAAAAGATCTTGGCATCATATAGGATTCCAAGTTGCGATTTCATCTTCATATTGAATTTATGGTGAAGAAAGCTCTACGTAATTTGGGGTTTGTTATCAGGGTGAGTAAGAATTTCACGATTTTTTTGTCAACAGTGTGCTATGTTATGGTTCCGTAATATGGAACCCCATGTATGCGGTGTATCGTGGTCGTATTGAAGCTATTCAGCGACGCTTTGTACGTTATTTGGCACATAAATTTCATCTTCCTTACTGCGATTAACCCGTGCGACGATAGCAACAAACCTCCCAGCAACAAACTTTTACCCGTAATTTCCTATCTACTTTCTTAACTGATATCTTCCTTATAATTAGGGATAGCGAAAAACTAAATGCACCACTTGAAAGCTTGAATCTTTCTCTATCTAAAACCGGGTTTTCGTCTGCCGATAAGTTGATATTAAGATCAATAAAAAATGAAGAACACCGCTGTACTTAAAATAGCTCAAAATTACCAAACTTCAAGGCCTTGTGCAATTGTTACGAAACCGAATTTTAAAAAACTGTTATCACAGTCAGAAAGGGCGCTCCTTCAGCTATCTTAATCCGGGTTTTCGTCGGTCAATATCTATCGGCGTCATGCTTAAATCACCCTTAATGTCCATCCCTACACGCAGAAACGCTTAAATACTCTTCCTCTAAACAACTTTCTTATTTGATAGGGAGAAAACTATAGAAACATATCTATCTTATTGAAAATTTTCTGCTCTTTCTAGTGATGTATAACACGCGACGATCACACGTTTGCACACGTACATTTTTGGCCAAAAACTGCCAAATTCACACATTTTAGCCATTCTTAAACCTTGTTCGGGTCGATAACTTTCTTATATGAGCAGGAGAAAACTCTAGAACTATATCTATCTTATCGGAAATTTCCTGCTCTTTCTAGTGATGCATAACACGCGGCTATCACGCGCTAGACGTTTTTCGCTATCCCTAATTATAAGGAAGATATCAGCTAAGAAAGTAGATAGGAAATTACGGGTAAAAGTTTGCGATTACGATAGGCGTTGCGTGGTCTTCAACTTGTTGTCACTACAGCAGCGTCGAATTGTTGCTGACTTGATCTTCCGATCTTCTGCCTGAGTTGAGTTTCAATGTACCGTAACGGCTTACACGTTTCAACGCTACATTTCGTCTTGATAGATCTAACACCAATCTTTATCAAAGCTCTCCATTAGTTCGAATTCTTAATTCTTATAACCAAGGCTTCAACCATATACCTCTCTTTGACGTTTCCTTACGCTCTTTTAGAAAATATGTACTAAGTAATGTATAGCGGATGTTTTGTTGATCGCTTTTCGTTGTATTTATTTTAGTTTATATCACAATTTTTTTTTATATTAATTTTCGTTATTATGAGGATGCTTTGTTGGGGATATTCTCCCCGTATGCATCCCGAATATGAAATAAATAAATAAATAACATTTATTCACGCTATAATTGCAGTTTCTTCATGGTATAATTATGGTTCAAAAGAAAACCGACATACCTTCACGCTATAATTGGGATTTAAACCAAAACTGACCTATCCGAACATTTATTCACACTATAATTGCGGTTTCTTCACACTATAATTAGTGTTCAAAAGAAAACCAACAAAATAACCTGAACTTTCAGAATAAACTGAAACTTTATTTTGACGATATATATATAATTTAATAATTAAAATAATTTTGAACGGAATTTGAGCACGAAATTTATTAATAACTTTTATAATTTATTAATATTGATCCACGACCTTGTTAATTCAACTATGCGTCAGTTTCACATTCCTTCCTTTGAGGGACTAAAACTTCACCAGTTTCAAAAGAAAAGTTATAAATTCCAAAAATTCGGTTAATTATTCCAACCTTGAATGGAAATGAGCTTTTTTTTCGAACAGCCACTTTCGCTTTATAAATTGTACCCAAACGTTGTCACTAAGTTTTTTTTTATGAATAATCTTCATCTTAAAAAGTGGTTAAAATCGTTTTCGAAACAGGTGTCTGGTTGTTCGTGTTTCTTTTTATCTCCTTTTTTTACTTTTACTTTCTTGAGACGGCGAAAAATCCTAAATCTTCATCGCGTTCAATTACCTTTTACCGTCACCGTTTTTTTTTTCTTTCATTCGTTGTTCCTCTTTTGGTTAATTATTTCGATACTTTTCTGCTTTCGTTTCGACTTTCGGTCTGCATTGCGGGCCGTTTATTATACCTCGAGTTTCCTGGTACGAACTTCCAAATGAAAAATTATTGGCTATTTGTATTGTTGCCCAATTCAAAACAATATCCCTCTTGGTATAATTGTAACAAACCCACACAAAACCCCCATCAAATACAGCACCCCCGGAATGTCCAGGAATAAACTGCTACTGTATTGATTGTTTGTAAATGGCGTTGTTGTTCTATCGAAGCAATAAAATCTCCATATGAATGTGCTTCGATAGGGCAAAACCATTTTGCTTCTGTCTGTTTAAGGCAATTAGTAATTAGCATTAAAGGTACCCGAGTGTAAATGATTGTTTTTGGGGTCAAAGAACAATTATTGTTGATTATGCAAACATCTGTTCTTTTACAATATTAATTTTAATTCCTTTTCTTTCTTTTTTAGGTGAGTCGACTTATTTAATTAACTCCTCACGTTTCATGTTGCATGGTAAGATAAAAAAAACCTCTTATATAATGATTAAAACTTTATTGTTGGACGTTTTCCTTAAATTACGATTAATAACCCGCTATCGGACGTTTGAATTCCCATGTCGCGGCGATAAATTACATTTAAATTGTTGGGTTACGTCTTAAAATCGAGAAAGATTGACCTACATCTCAAATTCCCAATATTGAACGGTTTGTATTTCGCGCCATTTGCGCCATCTCTTAGTGAAAGGTTAAAGTTTAATTTAATACATTACAAAATGCATTTTACATAATTATTTTAATCTAATTCAACTCTTAATCTACATAATTTTACGTAAATTAAAATAATAAATCAAATCAATAAATGATTTAGAATAAATTAAAATCATTTTAAATTGAAATTTGCGCCATCTCTTAACAACCGTACAAAGTTGGTACTAAAATGTTGAAATTACTTTTTTAATTTATAATTAATATTAAATTTTCGTTATAATAATGTACTTAAATTATTATAACTTAATTAAATCAATAATGAATTTGTTATAACAAATTATTCCTTAAAACATCGTTTTTAGAAATTGAAATTCCTGTTTTATCGACATTCTAACCTTAAAATCAATTTTATCCTGTCATTTTATACGCGATTGTTGTTTGAGGTTAATATCAAGATAAGTTTGGCAAATTTCTCAATTTAATCAAGAATAATGACGTTAATGTCGCTTGCTTATATCGACTAATAATAAATAGTAATAATAACAAATAATAAATAACAATAAATCAAATCAATTAATAATTTAAAATAAATTAAAATCAATTTTAAATAGAAATGTGCGCCATCTCTTAACAACCGTACAAAGTTAGTACTAAAATGTTAAAATTACCTTTTCAATTTATAATTAACATTAAATTTTCGTTATAATAATGTACTTAAATTATTATAACTTAATTAAATCAATAATGAATTTGTTATAACAAATTATTCCTTAAAAATCGTTTTTAGAAATTGAAATTCCTGTTTTATCGACATTCTAACCTAAAAACAATTTTATTCTGTCATTTTATATGCGATTGTTGTTTGAGGTTAGTATCGATAAGTTTTGGCAAATTTCTCAATTTAATCATCAAAAATGACGTTAATGTCGCTTGCTTATATCGACTAATAATAAATAGTAATAATAACAAATAATAAATAACAATAAATCAAATCAATTAATAATTTAAAATAAATTAAAATCAATTTTAAATAGAAATGTGCGCCATCTCTTAACAACCGTACAAAGTTAGTACTAAAATGTTAAAATTACCTTTTCAATTTATAATTAACATTAAATTTTCGTTATAATAATGTACTTAAATTATTATAACTTAATTAAATCAATAATGAATTTATTATAACAAATTATTCCTTAAAACATCGTTTTTAGAAATTGAAATTCCTGTTTTATCGACATTCTAACCTAAAAATCAATTTTATCCTGTCATTTTATACGCGATTGTTGTTTGAGGTTAATATCAAGATAAGTTTGGCAAATTTCTCAATTTAATCAAGAATAATGACGTTAATGTCGCTTGCTCATTATCTACAAATAATCGATAGAAGCTGGAAAACTCAAGATGGTTATAAAATAGCTAATTTTATCTCGTTAAGACACGATCATGTGGCAAGTGTTAACCTGCACATTGAGAACCCGGAGAATATGGTTGAAAAATTCGTTGCGTCTCCTATGGATGAGTTAGTAATGTATCATTTGAAATGTTTGCATGCGTTATCACAAAAGAATCCTCTTGATGCGTACCAATATCAAAGTACGATGACTCAGATTTTAACGAAAATTATTCAAGCTCAAAAAGAAGAGAACTGGTTTTTGCCTGTTATGTATGCCGTTTGTTTAGATTTGAGGTTATTAGCGCAAAAGGCTGAAAAAGAAAGAGAAGGAACAACAGATAAACCTGGAGAAATTTTAGAGAAAGCCGCTGAATGTCTTATGGGGTGTTTTCGAGTTTGTGCAGCCGATAATAGATCATCAGAAGAAGATACGAAACGATTGGGAATGTTGAATCTAGTAAATCAACTCTTTAAGGTTTATTTTCGTATTAATAAGTTACATTTATGTAAACCTTTAATAAGAGCTATTGAATCATCACCATTTAAAGAAAATTTCTCACTAAGTCAACAAGTTACTTATAAATATTATGTTGGTCGTCAAGCCATGTTTGATGGAGATTATAAATCAGCTAATGAATATCTAACTTATGCATTTGAAAATTGCCACAAATCAAGTACAAGAAATAAGCGATTAATTTTAATTTATTTAGTCCCTGTTAAAATGTTATTGGGATTTATTCCAAACCGAGAAGTTCTCGCAAAATATGATGTAATCCAATTCTGGGAATTAGTTGAAGCTGTCACACAAGGAAATTTAAAAATGTTTGACGAACTGATGGAAACACACGAAACATTCTTTATTAAATGTGGAATTTATCTGATTGTCGATAAATTGAAGATTATTGCATATAGGAATTTATTTCGGAAGGTTTATATGATTTTGCAAACTCATCAAATCCCAGTGGACGCTTTACAAGAAGCTTTAACTTATTTAGGACAATCAGATGTTGATTTAAATGAAACTCAATGTATTGTAGCTAATTTAATATACGAAGGAAAAATTAAGGGGTACATTTCGCATCAGCATCGCAAAGTTGTTGTTAGTAAACAAAATCCGTTTCCTATGTTATCTAGTATGTCTTAAAATATAGTTGTTATTTTGTGATTGTATAATTTTTTATTTAAATTCCTTTAAAATATGGATCTCACAAGTTTTGTTTGTAGCTATTAAATATGTTCATAAAAGTTTCTTAAATATGGTTAATATTCTTATACAGGGAATTTCATATAACTCGCAATATATGAATGCAGTAACCATAGTTGCAAAAGTTGTCCCACATAAATTGCAACATAGCTTAAAAGCACAGTGTTAATTAATTATCCTACCCAACGTCATCATCGAAAGTATGCAACCAATATCACAGTATTGGTATTGCAACGTGACGAAAGTTCCTAAAAACGACGGCGACAATTCATTAATTTTAAAAGCTGTTTAAAATATATTTATATAGATATAACTTTCTGTCCTTTTATTTAAAATAATTTTTAGTGGCATCTATGGCTAGATTGAAATTAATGTTGAAAGTAGTGGTTATTTTGATTTGTTTATTGACTTACCGCTTAAAGTAACCGTTAGAAACAACGATAGTTCTAAAAAGAACTGTTTAGAAAAATATAAAGGCAGCAAAAAAACGGTTAAAGAACAAAGAAAATACGGAAACTCACAAAGCATACGACAATCACAACAATAACGCTGGTCAATATCTGGTTACTAATTGAAAATTATCCAAGCTACCACTACATATTGAGATATGCATCTAATATTACACAGGTCACGTGGGTTACAATAACTAATTAACGCAGTGTACAGGGTGGTTCAAATTCGATGTCCGAATAGGCTATCTCGGAAACTATAAGAGTTAGAAAAAAAGTGGCTTACATGTCATGATCTCGTTTTTCGAGAAATTGCTAATGCCAAAAACCTCAAAGCGCTATCGTCTTTTGTTTTTCCCCTAGAGGCCAAAATTGAAAATATCGCAAAACCAGCAAGTGCAATTATCTTGGTTATTATTATAAGTGGAGTATTATAACTAAGACATTATATGGACACTTTTTTACAAAGAATTTGATGACGTAGCAAAAAAAAATTTCGATTTTAGATTTTGAGATATGATGACAATTTTCGTTTTTTTAAAGCAACCACTGATTATTCGCTTATTAAATTCGTTATTTTTTTCTAATTACAAAAATATGGGGTTAGATAGGTCTATTGTTTTAGAATAGAGCTAAAAATAAATTTTTTTGTAGTGTCGTGTACCGGTACAATGCGCTTTACGAACCTTGGTGTCGTCAAAGAAATTAAATTTACAGTTTCCTGTAAATTACGGTACTACAACTAAATGTGGCAAGTGTT